TATATTCTTATTATATATACAAATGCTGTGTATATTTAATAACTTCAAAACGCTTATCAGTATTTTGCTCAAACACGTGTGCGTAAATCTTTCTTTTTTGTAAATATATAAATAGAACCTTTTTCCATATATTATTATTATGACAGTCCGTTAATTAAAAAAATAAAATCGTTAAACATATTATACGTTTAATAAAAGATTAATAAAATATAATTTCTAATTAATAGATATACGTGAATAATTTAAAGCAATGATTCTCTTTTAGGAATCTCTTCTCTTTTATGAGATAAATTTTATGAATGATATGTGCCACATGATATTCTTTTGATAATTCATTTAACTAAATTCGTCAGTACGTATAATAATTGAAATAAAGTCTAATAATATAATATATCACACACAATGAAATTATACCAATCTAACACAGGAAACTCTGTATAGCATAAAAAATATTAAGTCACAGCACTTTCATTTAAAATTAAATAACATTTCTCGTGTTATATAATTAAAATTGTCACTTTCTTTGATTTATGTTTTGATGTTGTGTTCCTATGTACAATGTTTAAAACTATACTATACATAGACACTTAGCTCCTTATCCTTTGCAATAGCAGTATTTGCGTAAATGAAACAGCGAGTCTTCCACGCATCTCGCTTGAGATCCATACATATTAATTCTGCTAACATCGGAGATCTATAATGCAGATTATAATATGTATTCATTGTAAAATATACTTGTATTTTTGTTAGTTATGAATTGGTTCTTAAACTTACCTTAACGTGGAAAGTATTTTCCGCGAGATTGTGAGTAATGCTAACTTCGAATAGCGCGTCACCCGGCACTGTTCTCACTTTTAATTGATAAATCTCCGTTGCTACTTGGGTTTTGGCACTAAAATCACCTATGAAACCGTCTTGATCTCCAGACTTTCGAAAATTTAATAAACCTGTGAAATTTCATAAATACATTAGCTTTTTTTATGGTACGTTTGATAATAATGTATCTTCTGTTGCATGCTATACCTTTGGTAGGTATGAGCTTAGCAGCCCATAAGATTTTGTCTAAATGTAATATCGCACATATGTCATGATGATCCACAGTATAACCATTAAGAAATTGGACAAAATAATTGGCAGCGGCGACAACGTTCATGTCGTCGATCGAAATTTCTTTCCATCCAAGACAAGCACACCAATGTGGCTCTATGAATGCATCCGCGCACGTTCTGTTCAGGGGCACCTAAAGAGCATCACGTTTAACAAAATAACAGTTAAAACAATTTAAAAAAATAAAGGATTGCACTTTGTTTAGTGTAAGAAACTAAAAAAACATCTTTATGAAGCATCTTTGTGATTCTAATATTAGTAAATAATTTGCAATTAATCGCAGGAAGTAATGAAAGAGTAACAGGAAATAGTGAGGAGTAGTAGGAAGTAGTGGGAATGTTCCGATCTGATACGTATCCGATCTGAGGCGCATTATTCATTAGTATTATTTAGGTCTTGCGTTGTTGCAGACGCGCGACGCAGTTCTCGGTTAATACACTTTTCCAAAATTCGCGCAAATAAGAATTATCCATCCGCTTCACGTCGTTACTTTATACTGACAATGATTATGATTTTACTCATAATCTCTGATACTTGCAAAGATTAGTTAATCTATCTCGATATTTGTAGATATCATGTGTTATTAAAGTTAGAAAAGATACCAGAAGTTCTAGTTATCAACAAAGGAGTGTCACTCTTTGCAGTTTAATCCTCTATATTATAGGAATTGTCTTCTCATCAAAATATTAAAAAAATGTAAGGAAAAGTTTATTAAATTCCGGCTTTCCTTCTTATTTTTGTAAATATATAAATCTACGCAAGCAGTATATTGAAGTTGTAAAAAAATCATTGGAATCTTAGATATCTTATTCGAAATTAATTGCAAAAATTAAAATATGTCAACATAAATAATAAATCATGAAATATTAGATTTTCAAATTTAATCTCAATTTTACGTTTATGGAACATACATACATATATGTACATATAAAATATATGTCATATGTATGTGTGTATAAAAATATAATTAGGCACATTATTATATTAACTTACCTTATCAAATAAGCTGATGGCTCTTTGATGACGATCTCCATCTTTTGGGACATCAAAGTTAAGTATGTTTTCCAATGTCTTGTGTACGTCAAATGGTGATGTTAAGTATTGTGTATTGTATACAAAGTTTGCATAAGCTTGTGGATGGGCTTGCTTAAACCAAGGTGGAAAAATGAAAGAGAAAAACGGCAATCTTTCTTCTTGCTTACCTTGGAGAGTATTACGAATATCCGCAAATCTGTAAAACAAAAATAACACGATTGCTCATACATATATCAAATAGCTGGTATATGTATATAAATTGTACAGTCAATAAATGGCATAGAATGACATTTATACATTTATATAGATATATATATATAATATTCAGACCTGTGTCCATGGTCACTCATCAAAATCAAAATGGTATTGTTTAAATGCCCATGATCGTGGAGGTCTTTTACCCAAGAATATACATCGTTATCCACCACCCCGATATCATTGTAAGAGTCATGAGAAAGTTCGCCATGAAATCCAAATACAAATTTTGGTTGCTTTTTATATGTATTAAATATCGTTTTTATATAATTCATCATCACCTATATAAAAATAATTAAATCAGCAATTAGATAGTATTTCTTTGATCTTTTATCTTATTAATAAAAATTGACACAACGTTTTATACTTACCATATGACGCGGGATGCCAGCTATACAAAATTTGTTATATGTTTTAAAGTACGGAGAAGCGGCTAGATAATACGTGCGCATGTAATGATGAGTCGGTTGTTCGTCGAATCCTTTCAAGCGATACGTAAACGTTCCGATATGCGGTACATCTTCCATAAAACCCGTTATGTATCCGTGTTCCTTATACTTATTCCATATCATAGGATACACATTGACATAGTATGCTTTGTGACTCATCCGTTTTCGCGTTTCCGGTAATTCAAGTTCGATCTTGCCAGTTAAAATTGGGATAAGCGCTTGCGGTGTACCATCTCCTACGATATTGTATCCTTCTAACACTAGAGCATCCAATTGCTGTTTTATAAAATGATAAGTTCTTGGTAGTTTACGAATGAACGTATTTCGCGACAGTGAATCAAAGCCGAACATAAGCACGTTTAATTTCAAGCCCGGCACAGTATCCCAATTATGTTGCTGCTCGACGTACGGATCGTATTTTACTCCGGCGAGTACACTACGCCACCTAAGCATATTCATCATCAGTGATGTAAACGAGAACGTTTGTAAAAATTAATTAAACAAATTAACTAACACATCTCCATTTTGTGACTTGCACCTAACGTTTGCAAAATCGCTGTCCTTCAAAGTGTAGAAATCGTCAGCTTGTATACCATCTAATAATTTTGTATTGTAATCATCTGTTCTGATAATTTCTGAAAAGAAAATAATGTATATCATATACACTATCTAGAGTAATAGTGAATAATTTCATATTAAATATTAGTAATTGAAATAATATATATTTCTATTAGTATTAATATATATACAAATAATATACAGAATATTTTATCTATATTAAAAAATACAATCTTTTTTTACTTACCACTGAATATGCATGTTATTCGTCCATGCTTTGTCTTTGCTTTATTAGTAATAATAAGTCTTGAACCTTCCACTGTAACCCAGTCTTCAGGTCCACATGATAAAGGTGGCACATCATATATAAATTTCATTATTTCTGGACTAGAGATATTTAATTGAGGTAATTTGCACGCAACACCTTCTCTGCACAAATATATTAAACAAATAATAAATACCCATAAATAATATGACAACTGAGAATGATAAAATACATAAGGTATCATATGATGCAATTATACACTATTGTTCAGCAGCTGTTAAATTATATAAAATGAGACTGTTATATAAAATTTAAATATTATTGCCTCGCTTCATCAAAACAGATTATTGTATACATACCTCACATAAGATTGTTCTGACTCTTTGATTAATTGTGATATGTGTACTCTGAAATTGTTCGATAAAAATTATAAAATGAAAAATATATCAACTTGACATTAAAGCAAGAACATAAGATAAAATATTAAAAGAGTACTCACAATTTGTCTAGATTTGAAAGATCAGGTTCATTAAATCCTAATTCTGTTCTTATTACTTGAAAGACACAAAATAATAGCGCTAGAGATAGTGCTGCTATTATGCAACGACGAAAATGGCACGCCGTGATTCTCATGTTTATTCAATTCAATATGTAAAGAATTTCTGTAAAATATAAAATGTCATGAGCTTAAGATTAATTATCGACACTTGATTAGGAATAAATAAGCGTATCTTTTTATTTTTCTTTCTTTTTCACAGAATGTAATAATCCTCTATTGAATTTTATTTCATTTACTTAAGACAGTACTATATTACTCTTATTTTTTATAAATATCATAAAAATAATATTTAAAATATTCAAAATATGTTAATAAAATATAATTGTTCTGCTGGTTTGCCTTGTTGTCTAATTGTAAGCAATATTATGCAAAGAGGATTAATGTAAAAAAATCATTAATGTCATCATTAATAAAACTCAAAGTTGATTTATTTATTTAATAGTAAAAATATAAATTTATTTAATAGTAAAAGTTTATTCTTATTCTTATTAAATGTTTAACCTTATTCTCTTACATGTTCAGATATAAGATTGTTATTATAGAAAGACCAATTGATTCCAATTCAAACTGACGCTTACTATATGAAAGCATTGCTTGCTGTTGTCTACTACGATATATCCTGTTTTTTTTATAGCATGCATGATAGTAGAATATGATATATTGCTGGGATTTTATGTATGTTACAAGTATCATAGACGCAAATATTGAGAGTATTTTCTTTTTATTTGCATTTACTTGCTCTGATAAATGCCACGATCAATTTCAATATATATCCTTATCTATGATTAAACATTTCCTGTGACATATCGACTCCTGTTCCTTATCTTAATTATACATTAGCTTGATTCTTGTCATATCTGTACAGTACTCAAGTGGATTAAGGAGAATTGAAATAAAGTTTTTATATAGGAAAAGAACTTTTTTTTTCCACATTGTACATGTATGATATTTTTGTCTGATAATGAGAAAATTTCTTCATCATTTTTGTATTAAAAGATCCATACGTTTTTGTAAAATTGAATGAAAAGAAACCAAGTCTTTAATTGTAAAACATTACAGTATAATTTACAATATAATACGTAAACTCTGGATTCTGATATCAGATACATTTGTTATTTTATACATTAACATATAGATACATAATAATTATCTACAGAAAAGCTTTACACACACATGTTACACACATGCATAAATGTACAAAACAAGAAAGTATTACCTTTACATTATCACTCATAACAGACAATTAGTGATGCATAAGAGCTTATTTGACTTGTAACATGACGCCAGACAATGTTCGTCCAGGAATCAGAAAGAGAATATATGAAGAGCGTATATATTAATAAACGCACGATGAAATTCTCATCAAAGATTCAAGACAGCCACACGAGTTATAGCCTATCGGGGTGCTCAGACAAGTGGTGTAGGAATTTGTCTGTAAAACGTAATGCTACATCGCACACAAAAATGGAAACAATATAGGAAGAGCAGTTCGTTTCACAAGAAGCACTCTCGTAAGTGAAACACCTTTACGCGATAAACGAAATTTCGACATCGACACGTCGTGATGTGTTTGATCCTTGCAACAAGATGCTCCTTTACCGATGTCCATTGAAAGTCAAAATCATCTCGTTTCGTTTCATGTAGTAAACTGTCGCGACGCTTGCACATGCACGATGCATGCACGCGTGAAATACTCGTCGCACGCACCTGCACGCACCGCGCGCGAGACGTGAAACACTGGTGTGCAATAGTGAAGTCGAAAATCGAATATTCAATATCGAAAGATCGACCGATAGTGTCATACGTGAAATTTGAGCATCATTAATAAAAAGAAAAAAAATATATATATACATATAATAAATAAATAGATAACATGTCTGTTTGAAAAAAAAAAAAAAAAAAAATATATATATATATATATATAAAATATAAAATATAAAATATTTCTCTTTTCTCTCCTTTCTTTTAAGATTATTTCGTCCAATAACGGGTCGATCGGGAAATTTCAGGGAATTTTGAAGGATTTCGAGACAACACAATACATTTACGTATGTAAAATTTCGAGGATGAGTAACACAAAGTATATAGAATAATTATTTTCTGCAATAGAGACGTGATTTTATGCAATTTATGTTGAACTGATATTAGAAAACATACCGAATTTAATGATTCTTGTGATTTTAATAACTTGCTTGTAAAGCGTAAGTTGAGAAGCGATCGTTTAAATATTCTTGTAAGCCCGACGTATAGTTTTATATATTATGAATAAATCAGCTGATCGCTTACGAAGCGCTCATGTCTTATGTCAATACGCGACCTAGCACTGTCAACGCAAGCTGTATGTAACTTATACATATATGCTTGCAATACCGCTCGATCGATCCGTCACGTTAAAAACTCACATATATTATGTCAGTAAAGTAATTGTTTTATCGAAGTGTTTTTATATATAAGCTGCAATACACATAATATTTTTATTGCGGACGATTGATTATGCGCAACATTTTAATCACAAGTGCGTATTGTAAACGAGTTATATATTATATATGTTTGTTTAATTTTTTTTTTGTTGGATTTGCACACATACTTACACATATATATTGCCTTTACTTCGCGATATCTACTGGAAGAAAAGAAAAATAACATATAAAATATATAGAGACATAGATGGGGAAAAGAACTACACGCGACTACGCCCACTTCTTGTTTTATGTATTTTCCTACATCCACTTAACGTCACTGTGGCGTAGTAACTGCACTATTAATTATTGTTTTCAATAAAAAGATCGCAAAATTCTTTTTATTTTATTTTATTTTTTTCGAATCATAGCTTGTTTAATAAATGTTCTAAATATTCTATTTTAAAACATTAAACACATTATCTATTTTGTTTCAAATGTTCTACGACACGAACAAATATAGAGTAATCGATTATGCTTGAAACAAAGTTATATAGAAGGAATTGATTTTATTCGGCAAAATAGTCAAATGTATTTATTTGTATAATTATGCGATAAATGCAAATAAATCAATGAATATTTACATATTTTTTCAGGCAGAGAAGTATATTAATTATTAATTAATTAATTATATAATTAA